TCTCCCTTCTTCTCCCCGGTGCTCTCTGATCCTAGCTACGGCTCAAGGGCAGCAAAAGCGAATGCAGGCAAGGTAAGTGGGGGGAGGGGCGAGGCTCATTGTGTATTTATGCAGGAAGGGGACGAAACGGACGGGCGACGAAATCGGGGAAATTTCCCTCAAATCTGGCACATATAATCCAGATCCGATTTTACCGCCCACGCGCCCACCTTTTCCACATTAATCGCACGAACAGTTATGTCCCGTCCGCTGACACAGCGTCGCATCCAACCGTAGCAATAGCAAGCCCCGAGAAACCGCATCAAAAGGCGCGCCCGCCGTTGTCAGCCAACGGGAGGGGAATATCCCCCCACCCGATTCCTTTCAGACTAAGGAACTGGGCGCCGAGCCCGTTACGGTCCAGGGGTTCGAAGGCTGGGCCTCCAAGGGTCTCGACAGCCGCCCCAGGACAACAGAGTCAGGGACAACTATGGGCGAGCCTGTACATGGCCGAGGCCTGAGCAAATGATCGCTCGGGACGCCCTAAGTCGTGTCCGAGACTGGCAGGGAGGTCTCCGAATGGGATCCCACCGTAGGGAGGCGCCGAGCCCTCGGGGCCAATCGAACGGCCCTAGGACCCACTAGAGAAGCCCTCTGGTACTTTTGGAGTGTGTCTCTGGACCACTAGCCGACCCATATCGAATGGGGCATGGGCCTCCACTTGGACTTACCCGATAACAGCTCGCCGGAAGTGTCACCGCTCGTGCCCACCGAGGGTAGCCTGACATATTCCACCCCTCCTTTCGAACAAAAAGGATGCGCGAGGGTCGCACAAAAAGGCAGGGGAACTCCTGACCGCCCTCTCGCTCTGTGCAGAGGCTCGGGAGCTCTTCCTACAACCTTGCCGAGACCCAGCGACCCAGGCTCACACTCGAGGGCTCGGCAAAAAACCCCTCCTTCCGAACGAAAAGGATGCGCGAGGGTCGCACAAAAAGCCAGGGGAACTCCTGATCGCCCTCTTGCTCCGTGCAGAGGCTCGGGGGCTCTTTCTGCAATCTTGCCGAAACCCAGCGACCCAGGCTCGCACTCGAGGGCTCGGCAAACAACCCCTCCTTCCGAATGAAAAGGATGCGCGAGGGTCGCACAAAAAGCCAGGGGAACTCCTAATTGCCCTCTCGCTCCGTAAGGAGGCTCGGGGGCTCTTCCTGCGACCTTACCGAGACCCAGGGCCCAGGCTCGCACGCGAGGGCTCGGCAAACAACCCCTCCTTCCGAACGAAAAGGATGCGCGAGGGTCGTATAAAAAGCCAGGGGAACTCTTGACCGCCCTCTCGCTCCATGTAGAGGCTCGGGGGCTCTTCCTGCGACCTTACCGAGAACAAGCAACCCAAGCTCGCACTCGGAGGCTCAGAAAAACGCGATAAAAAGGGCACCGAGCCCATTACGATCTAGGGGTTCGAAGGCTGAGCCCCCAAAGGTTTCGACAGCCACCCCAGGACAAATAGAGTCAGGGATGACTATGGGCAAGCCCGTACATGGCCAATGCCCAAGCAAGCAAGTGCTTGGGAAGCCCTAAGTCATGTCTAAGACAGGCAGGGAGGTCTACGAATGGGATCCCACCGTAGGGAGGCATCGAGCCCCCGGGGCCTGTCGAACGGCCCTAGGACCCACTAGAGAAGCCCTCTGATACTTTTGGAGTGTGTCTCTGGACCGCTAGCCGACCCCTATTGAATGGGGCATGGGACCAGCTCCACTTGGACTAACCCGATAACAGCTCATCGGAGATGTCACTGCTCGCGCCCACCGAGGGTAGCTTGGCATGCTCCACCCCTTCTTCTGACCAAAAAGGATGCGCGAGGGCCGCCAAAAAAAGACAAGGAACCCACCGATCGCCCTCTCGCGTAGAGCAGAGGCTCGGGGGCTCTTCCTGCAACTAAGCCAAGGTCCAGCGACCCGAACTCGTACCCATGGGCCCAACAAACGCGATAAAACTCCTTACTCAACAGAGAAAAAGCCCCTGGAGGAGTAAATCCACTCCTCCAGGGCCTCGGGGGCTACACCCGGCGGGTGCGCTCGCGCGCACCCACCGGAACCAAGTACAAAACACAATCCTGACGGGAACCGCTGCAAGCCAGAATCTCGACAAAACCTCAGGGAGAATGCTCGCACTCTCCCCGAGGCTCGGGGGCTACTGTCGGATACCCTAAAAAGGGGTACCCTAAGCAAAAACTGAAAAGATTGATTAGACCTTGCAAATATCAATGTCAAAGGACGATCACAGGGTCTCGGCTGATTCTCCGATTTGCCCGAGGCCCGCGCCGCAAAGGCCTCGGACGAAAGGCCAACTCTCCGCCTCGTCGAGGCCCTCTCGCCGAGGTCCCGCCCCGCTAGGCCTCGGACGGGTTATCAATTCTCCGACTCACCCGAGGCACCGCGCATAAAGCCTCGAACAAAATACCAATTCTCTGACTCGCTCGAGGTCGGCTCGGCAACAACCTCGTCACCTCCGTCTCGACCGACTTCTGTGACAAAACGTCACGCATCCAACCACTCCCGCAACGTTAGCCGCACGTCGATGTAGTGCAGCAGAGTGGCCGATGGGACGAGAGATAGGACTAAGCAGGGGTTATCGGCCACTGTGCTCAGCACTGCGCTCATGACTGGCGCCCGTACTACACTGTGCCACCTAATCTCTACTCCAGGAACAGCGCGGCGTGGGGGTCAGGTCTGGGTCACTATAGCCTCGGAATCAGTGTATAGGACCGACTGCTCCCATCAAACCTCGGCAATACACTTCAGGGTCTCGGCAGCCTCGGGATTTGCGCCCGCCGAGCCCCCCACGATGGCTCAGCCTCGGCACCAACCGAGCCTCGGCTTTTTACACTATGAACGTACAGCGACCAGCACGTCGTCGGCCATGCCCTGCGCCAAGCTATCACTGGAGCTCCCACGTCGTACAAGATCGGGTGTGATCGGCGCGTTGCTCTAGTGCATCAAGGACAAGACCACTCCGTTGACCATGCCACCACAGTAGCAAGCTACAGGACTCAGACACGCCACTTCCGCTTACAAGACGATGCATAGCAAACGCATGTATCGCCCCTGTCTCCCCTTCAACTATAAAAGGAGAGACCGGGGCCGTTTCTAGGGACAGGGGAGAAAGTCAGACGAACACTCGCATAGACTTACGTAGATTCAGACACACGCTCCCCCGCTGCCTGAGAGCAACGTTTCAAGCAACCCGCACCACTCCACGCAGAGACCTAGGGCTAGTTCCCTCTCTCGCCTAGCTTGTAACCCCCTACTACAAGCACTTTGGTGCAAGGAATACAAAGATCGATCTCTCAGACTGGACGTAGGACACCGATTGTCTAAACCAGTATAAACCTTGTGTCTCTTTGCATCACCATCCGGGATTAGGGGCACACAGTTCAAATTCACTAGTTGGTTGAAGACCCTCCGGTCCGAAACACCGACACTAGTTGATACAAGCTCTTTAGTGTAATTAGAATTGAGAGCTTGCTTTATTATTTGCATTCATCTAGTTGAGCTCTTTAGAGTAGCAAGTTTAAGAGCTCTTAGTGAGTAGTTACATAGCAAGTTTGTGTGCCTAAGTAATCATTGTAACTCAAATTGTTGGATAGGTGGCTTACAACCCTTGTAGAGCTAGAGCAAGTTTGTATTACGCTATTTATCTTATTAATCAAATTACTCTGATTGATTTATAGTTTTTAAAATAGGTTATTCACCTCCTCTAGTCATGTTGTTAGGACCTTTCAACGGCTAGGGAGGCGTAGGAAGTAGGAACACCAGGCCAAGGAGCTCTGGCGGGAGGTCAGACCATGGCGGTGATCCTTGGACTTGCGCCATCCTGCAAATATGAGATGAGACGAAGGAAACAACAGAGTGAGAGGCGCGTAGGCATAGAAACAAACACCTTGTGGGCATGGAATGGAAACCGGCCTACTATTCAAACCCTTGGATAAACAACAAGGAGTTCATCACCTACGATGCTTATCGATACTATCTCGGAACAGCCACTTCCACATATTGCAAGCGGACAAGCACAACATAATCGAGAAACGGAATTAGGGAGACAATTTCAGGTTGCGTGCGTGACAGCGCGTGCGGAAGGGACCCTGAAACAGCAGCGCCGTTCCGATTTCCGATCTCGTACGGCGACGATTTACGAAGTGAATGAAGGAAGATGGAGGAGACGAGGGGAAGAATGAATTGGGGAAGAGACGAGGAAGACACCTCAGATTGACTCCTCGGCGGCGGCGTCCAGGACGGTCACGCGATTCAGGTCTCTATTGGGAACGGACGGAAATGTTTTGTTGGTTGAACAGTTGGGCTGTAAATGAAGCCCATTCCTTTTATTCATGGACACACACAGCAAAAAAAACTCCTAAATAAAAACATCAACTTTTGTTAAAGAAAACTTCCAAAGGGAAGGGAGAATTGTATCAACAAGTTATAAAAGATAAATCTGAAATGAAGAAAATACAATATTCTATTCCGGTCCTTCCATAGTCATTATTATCCGATGACCATTTGATGAGATAGATCAATGGCATAGAAATAGAGTGAAGTGTGTGTTTAGATGGGAAAAAAGATGTTAAGAGCCTTTTTGGCATGATTTATTCTAGCTTCAGCTTCACCTATTTCATACAAATTGAAATGCTATAGCGTGAAACTGTTTTATAAGGACCTGCTAAAATGAACTAGAAGCTAGATGAAGTTACTTTTTTTAGCTTCACTAGTTTTAGTTCACTAGTGAACCTGTTTTGGATGAAGCCATACAAACGACCCCTCGATAAAGTGCCAGCTGACTGAAAAAGTACTTTTGTGTTTCTTTTCTTGAAGCACGCACACATGCTATACAAATTATATACTACTATATATCACAACATGAAATAAAAAAACATAATAGCAAAACTACTAGGTAGACTTACTCAAAAAAAAAAAAACTACAAGCCACACTATCCGCCTAATTCCTAAATGAACATGATCAGACGGCGCTTAGCTTATGGAGAACCTCCTCTTGGGCTTCACCCCATGCGCCATCGTGTGGCGTCCTCCATCAGCGATGCTGGCCGTGTCCTTGGCCCATCCGCCCTCGAACGGGTTCAGCCGGCTCAGCGTCCGCGACACCGACCCCAAGAAGCTCGCCTTCTTCGCCGCCGGCGCCGACCTAGACGACCCGCTCCCCTTGCTGGGCTGCATTCCCGACACGTACGCCCGCATCCGCGCCTGCTCCGACCGTAGCGCCTCGTTCTCCCGCGCCAGCGACGCGTCCGCCCTCGCCTGCGCGCGGGCCTTCCCGGCGGCCGTCTGCGTGTCCCACCCGTCGTCCGCGCCACTGCGGAGCTTGAGCTGGTCGTAGTAGAGCGCGCTGAGCACGGCCTGCAGCGGCAGCCGCTTGTTCTGCGAAGCGTGCAGGCGCGCCTGGTACGACAGCTTGAGCGGGTCCATGACGCTGCACACCTTCTCCCGCTCGATCTCGTCCAGCGCCGGGTGCGTCTTCAGGTAGATGTCCACCGCACGGTACACGCTGTCGTGCGACGCCCGCGCCTCCTTGGGCACCGCCCCAGCCACGCCCACGAACTTGGAGATCGCAAGCGACTCCTCCGTCGCGAGCTCAGCCTCCAGCTCGTCCACCGTCCTGGCGACCTTCTCCATCGCGCCCCGATCGGACTCTGCTCTGCCGGACAGCGACGCGCCCTCCGGCTCCGCCCGCTTTCCGACGCCGCCTCCTGCCGCTCGAAGAAGGCGGCGATGACGCGCCGAACGGTGTCGGTGTTCCTGACGCGCTCTCCGGCGCCGTCGAGCGCGACGCCCAGCAGGTCCCCCGCGGTGGCCTGGTCCAGCACCGCCGCGACGCGGAGCTCCAGGTCGCGTCACGTCTTGGCGGAGCCGCGGAGGCCTCGGTGGTGACCGCGGCGTGGAGGAGTCCGCAGAGGAAGGCCGCCGGGATGGGCGCGTCGGAGGCCGAAGGGAGCACGTCCACGACGGACTCGAGAAGCGCGCGCTGGTCCTCCCTGTCCCGGGGGTCGGCGAGGACCACGGCCAGCGCGAGCTCCGCGTAGGCGCTAGCCGCGTTGGCAAGCACCCCGGGGTCCGCGCGGCGGCAGCGCAGCGCCGTGGCGACCTTCTTGAACGACGCCGGCGAGAGCGCCGCGAGCTCAGCCGTCCACCACCCCGGCGGCGTCCTGGTCGAGAACAGTGCCTCGTTGCAGATCCTGAGCGCGACGGCGTCCGCGGCCCGCCGCACGACGCCGAGCTCCTCCGCGGCCGGGAGGAGCGCCTCGCAGGAGTGCAGCACGGCCACCGCGCTGGGCAGCGCGCGGAGGGCGGCCTGCGCGAGGAACTCATCGACGCGGCGCGCCAGGTCCGCCGGGTGCTGCATGTCGAGGAACGCCGCGGCCTTCTCGAAGTTGGCGCTGTAGCAGTAGCGCGCGGCCTTCTCGAACGCGTCGGCGCCGCCCGGCAGCGCGGAGAGGTCGAGCTCGACGGCAGCGGAGGGGTCCCTGGTGGCCGCCGCAACGGCGCGGCGGATGTAGCCGCACCTGGGCAGCATGACCGCCTGGGAGTAGAGAAAAACAAAGGCCGTTCACGTCAGTCGTTGTCTCTGATCGTGTTTCATTGTGTCGTCGATCAAAATTCAAAGCAGAAGGCTCTGATCACTTTGATCGTTAGGGGACGTGGTCAATTGTTTGAAACTTTTCTTTTGTTTTAAATTTTTCCGGCCATTATGTACCTTGTGGAGAGGGAAGATGGAGTCGGCGATACGGATGGTAAGGTCGGGAGGGACATCCTGGGACGAAACCCTGCAGGCAACCCACATGCACGTAAGCATGATTATATTCACCCTGGATTGGATTGAAGCAAGCTAGCATATATGCCATGAATGAATTATGAGATTGCGATGATGCATATATACCACTGGGTGATCCTGTCCATGGCGGATGCAGAGATGCTGCAGCCTTGTTGTATACTGAAGCTAGGCAAGGCAGGCTAGGTGTGCACATGCAGGGGCAGTCCTTTTGATCCATCTCATCTCTCTCATATATAGAGATCACACTCCACTGCATCCTGGCCTCTCTCTTTCAATTACTATATGTTATTCATTTTGGTGCCATCAGCAATGGATTTTGGGGAGAAGATCCAAGATCTGATTGGTGGGTCCTACTAGGAATTTTGCCTGGCTGGTGTTTATTTGAGCAAGGCGACTCGATGAAGGATGAGCAACTAAGGGTGTGTTTAGTTGGGGAGTTGAAAATTTTTAGGTGTCATATCGGATGTGTCGAAAGGATGTTGAGAGGGGTTTTTGGATACTAATAAAAAAATAAATTATAGAACCCATCAGGAAACTGCGAGACGAATCTAATGATACTAATTAACCGGTCATTAGCACATGTGGGTTACTGTAGCACTTAAGGCTTTTCATGGACTAATTAGGCTTAAAAGATTCGTCTCGCGATTTTGCCGAGAACTGTGCAATTAGTTTTTTTTTGTCTACATTTAGTACTTCATGCATATGTCCAAACATGTTCTTTTACTGTAGGATGCAAAAATTTTTGGAAACTAAACGAGGCCTAAATATCAGGCGTCCACTTGCAAGTTGGGGCTTGGAATGGCGTCCTGGTCTTCTTTATGGATGTTTCAATTGTGGGCAACTCAACTCAACTAGTGGTCGCTGCTTGCTGTGAGTCCTAATCAGTTGTGAAAACCACTTTTGGCGACCATGGATCGTTCTTCGGACTCTGCTTCGCTTTTGCCACTTTTTAATGGATCAGATTACCCCTATTGGAAGGATCGCATGCGCGTCTATCTTAAAGAGAAGGGGATTGCTATCTGGAACATTACTATTAATGAAAATTATATGATTCCAGCTGATCCTACTGCTAATATTTTGCTTTATGAAGCAAACAACAGAGCTGTTGATTTTCCAATTGCTTCTTTGAGTCACTCTGAATTTGATAGAGTTTCTGACAAACAACTCGCGCATGAGATTTGGTCCACATTCGAGATATTTCATGAGGGGGCAAATGCTGTGAAGGCTCGTTTATTCGAGACCTACAGGCGCGAGTACGATAGCTTTTTGCAACTTCCTGGTGAAACAGTTGAAGCAATGTATTCTCGGTTTTTGAGCATTGTTAACAAAATGAAAGCCAATACTACGGTGATGCCGTATGATGATCATGCCAGGGCTCTCAAATTGTTGCATGCTCTTGATCTTGATGTTTGGGGAACAAAAGTGGATGCAATCATTGAGTCTCCAAATTATGAGACGCTTACCACTGATGAGCTTTTCAGTAAGCTCAAATCTAAAGAGATTGACATCTAGTCCAGACAAAAATTGAAAACCCCCCATTGCTGCTTCTTCTTCGACAGTTTCTATGGCCTTGGTTTCTGGGAGTTCGACTAACGCTAACGCTAATCTTGCTACTCCTAGTTTTGCTTTGTCTTCCTTGTTGCATGTTGCAGATGATCAGTTGGAGGTGTTTGATGATGATGAGCTTGCGCTGCTCTCCAACAAGTTCAAGCGTGTGCTTGACAACCGCCGCAACAGGAGACACTCCGAGGGCTGTTTTGGATGTGGCGAACGTGGCCACTTGATCGCTAACTGGCGGCCACGGCGAGGTTGGCGCTTGGAGTCTGGTAGACCTCACCAGCTTGATCGAAGTCACCTTGGAGGTTGCGCGGTCGTGGACGGTCAATTCCATGCTCCTCGGCTTTGCGATTGGCCTCGTTTTGCTCGATCCAGGTTCGTTTACACGGCGTCGCGTGGAGTTCGTTTCTCTGGAGGCGAGTTGCACGATCTTCGTCAGTCTCACCATCCCATGGAGGGCTATCCACGCTGACCATGAAGAGCTCCCCTCCGGTAGTTGGCAAAGGAGGAGTCAGTTTGGTGGCGGCGATCTCGTCAACGGTCTCAGAGGAGCCGTTGGATTCGAGAGACGGTCTCCAAGATGGTATGAAGAGATTCTTCGACGTACGGTTGTAGCCGCACCATATTAACCATGGGGGCGACCTGGTTGGCGAACGTGTATACCCTGGTCGGCGTTGGGCGACCTTCAGAGTCTGGTTGGCGCATGCTGGTCGATGACGCCTAGTCGGCAGAAGCTGGTCTGCGCGCCCTGGTCGGTGCCATCTGGTCCGAAGGAGTTGCGCGGCACGCCGTGTTGGATTGCTGGCGTCGACCCGCGCATCTTGGTAGTGATGCAGGTGTGACGAGGCCTTCCCTGTGACGTAACATGAGATCGGAACGATCATGATGACCGAGATCTGTTACTTGAAGCGGGAAAGAGCCGTCATCGTACGTAGGCCAGACTAGAGTCGTCTCCGCCAATGTCAGGCAGTCGGCGATCTTCTGTCCAACCCGATCGATGGACTCGACCAAGTCATCATTGTCGATCGTCTTCCCCGGGTAGCGAGGAAGCGAATGACGTATCGAGGAAGACGACCTTGGCGATTGCACTGAGATCGAATCTGTTGCAGCGAACGTCGGCGTGGTTGTCGTAGAAGCGTCCAGCACCGTCGTGATGATCTCCCCAATGCCGTCAGCGCCGATGGTCCAGGTGATGGACCCGACGGTGAAAACTTGGCCGGCGATGAGGGAAATCGATGAAGACACCATCTTGCTGCGCTGAGGAAGCGCACGCAGATCCCTTATCTGGCGCGCCAACTGTCGATAAAATATGCTCGGCAGTCCACCAAGGGGTTACCCAAGGTGGTAGATTTGTGTGGTGGGGTGTGCGTGAATCCAAGAACAAGATGGTAACAGAGGACACAAGAGTTTAGACAGGTTCGGCCGCCAAGACAGCGTAATACTTACTCCTGTACTCTGTTCGGGATTTGGGGGTTTGTATTGATCTGAGCTATGAGAGATGCTAGCGGATGTTTTTTGAGGGGGTCCCCTGCCCGCCTTATATAACCGGGGGGCAGGGTTATAGGTCGGTTTGATCCGTATCTGAACTAACCAAAGATAAGCACGTACACGGTAAGGAAACCTGACTATCCTAACAGAGTACAACTGATCCTGCGGATAGAGTTCCAAATCCTACGCTATCTTGCCGAGCTGTGTCTTGGCCGGCAAGTCCTGGTCTTCTGGTGGGCCGAGCTACCCGTGGTGGGCTAGCCCATGTGGTACGCCATGGGTACCCGGGGTAGGATCCCACAACCTCCCACCTGACGGCCAGATCCGCCCGTGCGCCAGCCAAATCCGGCCGTGCCTCCGCCTAGCCGCCCGCGAGCGCCGCAGGTACAGGGAGAGGAGTAGCGCGAAGCAGGCGACGGTGGGCAGCGGGGCCGGAATGGCAGTGGGTAACGGCGAGCGCGCGGCAGCGGGGTTAGGGACGGGGAGGGAGGCGAAGAGGTTGGCGGAGGAGTCGGGGAAGAGGAACGCGAGCGCATGCGCGAGGGAGGAGGGCGGCGCCGGCGCGAGGAGGAGCCGAGGAGGGAGGCGGGGGCGCGGGGCGGGTGGGCGCCTGGGCGGTAGGTAGAGAGAGGCGATGGGCGCCTGGGCGGTGAGAGGAGAAGCCAGGAGGAGGAGGCATGGCCTGGTGGGGATTAGGGTTCGCCCATTCGGGTCTTCGGGAGGGAGGAGGCGGCCGCGGTGGTTGGTGGGCTGGGGAGGCTGGGTGGGCTGGGCCAGGCTGAGTGGGAGTCTGGGAGAGGGGTAGAGACGCAGAGTGGACCGGGCCTTCGTGCCGAGTCGGGCTAGGCACGGGCCCGTTTAGGCACGTGGGCCAAGATTCGTCGGGCAGGGCTCGTGCCGCCCATCGTGCTGGACTCTGAGCCCGAGCCTGGCCCGATTACCATGTTGGCCCAGCCCGAGGCCCAATCCGGTCGTGCCGGGCTCGTGCTCGTGCCGTGCTTTTTTTGCGGGCTTCGGGCTGGCCCATTGGCCCGGGCCCATTTGGCCATCTATAGTCCTGTACGAGTGAGAAAATGGATGCATACTGTTTCAAAATAAGGAAATTGGACGGAAAGGTTTATGGAATTGAGTACGGTCATGTAGTATGCGATCAAAATCAGTCGGCCGACCAGCTATCTAAGATCGGTTCTACCCGTGCTCAAGTTCCTCCGGGTGTTTTTGTTCAAGACCTCACCACTCCCTCCATTAAGCAAGACAAGGAAGTTGAGGAAACCCTTCTCGTCGAGCAGGCGGCTCTCGCTATCACAGAACATCTCCCTCACTGGAGAGAACAATTTATTACATATCTTACCAACGCCGACCTACCTAAAGACAAAGTCGAAGCGGAGCGAATCATTCATCGCAACAAACATTATCTGCTTGTCAACGGTAAACTAATGAGGAAAAATGCCAAGGGGGAAATACTGCAAAAATGTATCACTCGCGAGGAAGGAACCGAACTTCTTTACGAAATTCATGACGCTAAAAACCTGGTCCGGAAGTGCGAAGGATGCCAATTTTTTACCAAGCAAACACACGTACCGGCCCAAGACCTGCAAACTATACCGGCTTCATGGCCTTTTGCTTGCTGGGGACTTGACATGATCGGCCCTTTTAAACCAGCACCCGGCGGTTTTCGGTACGTTTACGTGGCCATCGATGAATTCTCCAAGTGGATTGAGTTCAAACCCCTTACCAACGGTACAGCGAAGAAAGCTGTTGAACTTTTCCAAGACATCATATATCGATTTGGTCTTCCAAACAGCATAATTACCGACCTCGGATCCTCGTTTACGGGGAGCGATTTCTAGGATTTCTGCGAAGATTACTGCATCTCCGTCAAATATGTTTCAGTAGCCCATCCAAGAGCCAACGAACAAGTTGAGCGAGCAAACGGAATGATTCTCGATGCTCTCAAGAAAAGACTATACCAGAAAGAGGAAAACACACAGGAAGATGGCTCAGAGAACTACCAGCAGTGGTATGGGGACTTTGCACCCAGCCTAGTCGCAGACGGGAGTATCGCCTTACTTCCTGGTCT